CCATTGTGGAGATCAATCTTTAAGAATATCTTAGAGCCTTGTAGTTAATCTAATATATCTTCTAGTCAAGGCATGGGAAAGCGATACCTAACCATGATTTTGTTGATGACCTCGCTATTTACGCACATCTTTCAGCTTTCATCTTTTTTGGGTGTCAGCAAAGCTAGGATAACACATGGGCTCATAATTTCTCAAATATGTTTCTTTCGCATTCCTTTTTGGGTCCATCCGATAGTGAGGTAAATTTGGTAGACTTACTTCTAAAGCCAAATCAATTTAGTGTTGAACATCTCTCATGGATAAAAGTCCATCTAGTAACTCTTTAGGGGTGATATCTTTAAATTCTTTCGATATCAATCTTAACTCTTTTATAATCTTTGCGACTTTTATTCCTTTGTAATAAGAAACATACTTTTGTTTCTTAGTATTAGCAATGAATTTCTTCAATAAATTGAAAATCGATAAGAAAGACTTCCGCTCCACTTTAGAAGTATTAGATTCATCTAACTTTTTATTAGTTGATCGAATGATAATCTTTTTCTCGTTCCACTAGAATACATAAATATTCTTTCTTTCAAGATGAGTTACATTTAGATCATACTACTATGGCCTTCTAAGTAGTACATGGCATATATCTATATCAACTACTTCATATATAACTTACTCCTTTTAGCTTTTCCTAATCGAGAGAGTAACTCTACAAATCTTAATTACAATGCTTGTATGGTGTTAGATAAGCTTTTATTTATAATTTTCAACACATTACCCTTGATTTAGATATAATATTTTTATAAATTCCATTGTCTATGCAAATTTTTTTTTATTAACACTATATCGAGAATGAAATATTTTCTTACGTCGAGATGGATCTTCTTGCTTTGATACGAGTAATAATCTTTTTACAACATATACAACGTGTTCCCCTTCTCTGATATTTGTGCCTTGTTTTGTAGGTTGCATTGATTTATTCATAACTTGCTTCTCTTTGTTAAGAATATGTCATGTTGTCAAAGCAGAAAATTGCCAGGTAGCAATTGGAGGTCGAGTCAATAATATCTCAACCTTTAATGTCATATTATGAGCTTCATCTACTATCTATATTAGACTTTAAAACATTCTATCTTTAATAATAAATTTCAGTCCTATCTTGTTAACTGTTGGTGTTATAAGTAATATTTGGTTGAAAGATATAAGAATTTATCAGCATACTCAATTATAGATAAGTGCCTTGGATATAGTTTTGATATCGTTGAAATAATAGTTATTCTTTAGGATAATAATCTTCCTATAAAAAGTTACTTCATTTTTCTGTATTGTTCAAATAATGTATTTCACCAAATTAGATACCAACTAAAATAGAACAAAAATAAAATAATAAATTATTATTAGAAAGGATTCTAGTAAAATGACCTTATAAAAGAGAACACGATAAATCAACTCCATGAAAGAAATCTTTATAATACTTAGAGAGGTGTTTATTTATACTAATCGTAGATCTTGAAAATTAGCTAACTAATAATATGAGATTATTGAAAAAATATAAAACATAAAAATTAATAATATGATATAAAAAAAAAAGATAAATGATAACGAATAATTTTCTATTTGTTCCGTATTACAAAGGGGTGTGGAGGCTATGACCTCAAGTCCATGGGAGAAGTAGGCCACCATGGAAGAACACTGTCGAGGGGGTGGCAGCTGAGCTGCAAGAAATCCCTCCAACAAAACACGCGATCCTTCGTCTGGTTGAAGCTCGTCCCGTACGTCACTGGCCCCCTTACGTCGGTCTTCATATACTTCGCTCTCTCCTCGAAACGAAGCTCGAAGAATCTCTTCCCCACGTCGATCATTCTCCTAGTGACTTCACCGGCAATGCTGTGGTTCACCGTCTGCATGCAGTGGTTCACCACCACAAACTATTCACGTATAGCTGCAAATTAAAAGGTCATTACCTGAAAGAAGCCATACTCCTTGCAAGCTCGGTCTAACGTCGCGAGAACTTCGGTGCGATCGGGCGAAAGCAGCTGACCGACATCGATGACAGGAAGCTTCAGACTTGGCTTACGAGCTGCCGGGGTGAGTTGAGGCCGGTCGGGGAGGGGCAAGACGTACTTTCTGGGAACCTTTGTAATGCCATTGTCACAGAGGTGCCTCACCCGCTTCATGTAATTGGTCTCGCATCTCGCCTCCCCTCTTGCCTTGAACCGCCATGTCCATTTGTGTTTCCTTTGTATTGATGGTGTTGAGACTGGTGGACTTGTTTGGTATATAAGGGAGAGGAGGAGAAAGGAATGGAGGTCAACCACAGAGGAACGAAGACAACTGTTAGAAATGCGGCTTTTGGGGTCAGCACAAACAAATACAAGTCACCTACACATTTGACTCGTGGATTTGTCCTGCGCTGGATAGTGATAGAACTTAAAGTCTTCACAATGTACAAACATCGAGGAACAGGAGATAAAAAGAAGAGATTGCTTTGGGGGAAATCCTGCAAGAAACAACAGTAAGCCTGTTCATCTAAGGTTGCAGTGGGAGGATCATCCACCTTTGTTATCACACTTCCAGTGTAAGTTCTTGACATGCCAAGACTTGCATGCAATGTAAGAGTTTGACCTGTTATTTGTAGTGAGAGCTTTATTTTTAGTAATGTCACAAACAACCAACCAACCAATGGAGGAGACAAAGGAAGGAAGACAACACATTATGACTTTGCTAAACTAGTATACATATAGATGTTTTGAATGAAACATTTGCATTCTAATGGGATGTGAAGGATACATGAAAGAATAGAGGACCATTCAACACTGTTGGCATGCTTTGAATTGACCACATCCATATCCCATTATTCAAATTAATGGCTATCAATCTACATGAGCCTTCTAAACTGGCCTTTTGGCATTAAATGGAGCCAACCATGCTGATGCTTTCTTCTTCCATGACCAGAGACAATGCATTATTTTAACATTCTTTTCATAGTAGGATCAGAAATGTTAGTGGCTGTGAGCCAGCAAGGCTGTGTGAGAGTAGGATCATTATTTCCTTATAAAAGATTGCACTAGATGTTTATTTGGCAAAGTCCGTTATCTTAGTATACGTTCATTTGTCTTATAAGTTTGGAATAAAAATATATATGAAGAAATTACTTTATATATGGTTGATTTTATCGAGGAAATATTCCTTTTATGTGTTATGCTATTATGAATTACTTAGTTGATTTTGACTGCAACTTCATGTGTCTCTACAGATTGACCATAGATTATTATTCTTAGTAACTCTTGTTCTAACATAAAATTTTGACATGATAGTATCATACATGCACACACTAGAGGTATAATTTTTTTGTTGGGGCATATATGATATTTAATATGACTTGGATGTCACTATCTAATTTAATACGATTATTTGAGAATTATATATATATATATTATTTTTCACGAAAAATTTAACAAACATAGAGACTCATAATTTTTTAAGAAAGAAGTGAGATGTGTTTAATATTAGAAAACTATTTTTCTAATTTTGATATCTATTTCCAATTCAATTTTACATGGAAATGCAAAAGGAATGTTCACATTTAATGGTAACTACAAGTTAGCACTCGGTGATTAGTGTTTTAATTTAAATTAAATTAGAGTTCTTCGGGTCAAACTCATATTTCAATTGATTTAAGATTAAATATTCTTGATTAGTGGTTAAGATTAAAAAATATATAATGAGTCCAACACCCTGTATAGTTAGTCATCACTAATAGTATAAAGCCAACCTAGTATTAAACATAATAAAAGATTAAATATAATAAACGATTAATAAGAAACTATTGAGTATAGATAGAACAAGAGATATGTAATATTGTAAAGCGATCAATTAAGTCTCGTAGATTTGATTTTGGGTATGAAGACTTCAACTCGAGTTGGCTGATTATACTTAATCCTACATTACAAGTGAGAGAAAAATTGATTTGGCTCGAAAAATTTTAGTGATATTTTACTATTAACTTAGATATAAAAATTGTGAGCTATTAACTTGATCATAACAAATGATATCAGAGCTGATGTTTAAGTAGGAAATGATTACGTAGGAGATATTACAATTTACCCTCGCATGTACGATATTATATTTTGATTTTTGATAATAATTATATTTATTTTATAAGAATATTAAAATTTTAAAATAATTAATAGATGTACTGTCACTAATTTAAGCATTCGAAGTCAATAATTATTTTATCTGATTGAATTATAATAAATGATATGAGAGTCGATATAACGAGAGATTAAGTAGAAAATATCTATTTATTTATAGGGCTAGAAGGAATGTTACAACTTAGCCTCGTATGCACAATAGATTTTGACGCTAATTATATTTCTTTAATAACATGTACTATCATTAACTTCAACTAATTATGAGGATAATGATAGCACTATAATTAACAAGTTTGGATCAATTAATCCATCGGGGTCGGATCTAATTGATGGATTCCTCCGTCCCTAATTTTGCCTTCTCAAAGCTTGAGCCGATGAATCGGAATGTGACAGGTGATGGAAAAGGGTATTAATTGATTTTGAATTCGAGTCAAACGTGGGTCGAGTGACAGATGATTGAATACGGTATTGGTTCAACCGGCGACCGGAGACTGGGGATGTCCGTTGGACGCACCGGTATCAAAACAACGGACGGAGGAGATACGCCACAACCGAAGAGATGGAGAGTTTAGATGAGACGACTCTGTAAGTACACAATGCATACTTGATTACCCCGCACACACGAGACCTACCATCCGCGGGCCCCATCCAACACTGGTTCGCTAAGTGTGGGTCCCAAGTCCCTTCGACGACGACCGTACC